AGAATACATGCTCTTTTCAGAACTAGATTTTGTCTTATATGGGGCAAAGAGAAAAATATGTATGCAAGTCATCTAGGAATCATAACTGAAATCGGAGATAAATAACTACTTTAATAATAAGTAATCCATTTAATATAGATATTAGTACATGTAAATGTTAATTTTATGCAGAATGATTATCAATAAAAGTAGGTAAGTAATGACGATGAATAAGATTTTCGCCCCAGAACTCAAAACTGAAAGAATTTTGTCCACTACACCTTTAATTTATACAGCATGGGTGTTTAAATATATGCATCTATTTGTTAGCAAAGGCTGCAGGAAGGTATAGTTTGTCTTTATTTAGAAAATATGGATGTTGTGATTGTTCATTTTCCTTTTGGAACAGAGTAGATTGACCCTGAGGTTCTGGCACCTATCTGCTTTTGGCCACCCCTCAGTGTACATTGGTTATTGCCTGGCCACCCTTATTAACATTTTCTGGCTACGCCTCTGGACATTGCAAACCAGGATCCAATTTTTGGATCAACAACATGGTTACATGTTTCTATTTTAACCACAGGTGACACACAGCTTGAACATTTTTGTGAAACATAATGCCTTTAACTACTTTGTTAAACTTTTTTTGATGGAACAGGTGTTAATCTGGCTGAAACGGACCAATACTTATTTTTGGAATACCTAAATAAGAGAATCTGTTGTTTATCTATGTGCGTCAGAGCAGCCTTACAGTATGAGAATATGCCAGTCTGACTCACACCTTCAGCTGTTGAGATAAATCATATCCTCAAGGCTAAAAGACCCCTAGATGGGAGTTGACAAAACCCGCTGTCAGCGCGATCCACAGATTAGTACATTTCATTAAGGGAATGTTGTCCTAATATTTTTAGGACATTTTAAGTTGGATCTATCTCTCAGCAGGGAAGATGTGTGACAGAAGTTAACATGTGAGGAGCATGGCAGTCATGATATAATGGCCTGAGGCTAATGAGCATTTGAGATGTGCACGGCTTGATGACCGATTAATTGTGTTTTCCAGTCATGTGAAAAGGCTTGTTTGGTCACTAAGTACTCTGAATAAATGTGAAAAAACATATCATATTTCCACTATTTAAACAGATCTTTAAGAGAAGCTAACAATCAGGCCCCATAAAACCTATAAGTTCATACATTAAGCATTTATCACTACTGTAAGCTTTCAGTTTATTTCCCATATAGAACCAATCATAGTCCATTCTACCAGGTGAAGTCTGTTATTAAGGAATAAACTATGCACAGATTCTCATTTGAACCTAAAGCTTAGATTAGCTTCCAGCTCCTCACTAAGCTCTACATCAGTATAAATCTATATTAAATATAGATGGTAGTTTTAACAAAACATCCTGTAGCAATCCGATAAAACCTGTAAAAGCGCATATGAAATTGTAACATTTATTCTATTTCCTTTATATACTAAAGCATTAGTAAATAAAAGATAATAAAATCAAGTTTTGTAGGATAATCTCTTTATGCAAAATTACTTAACACATATAGAGGGCAGTGTACACAAGAGATTTGTTTTTTCTTTTTATTTGATTACTCCTCATATGTGCACATTATATCTATTATATACCCGATTGCATTCCAAAAGCATTGCAAATAATATGAAGGCGCAAGCAAATTTTTAATTCAGAAAATTATCTTACCGGTACATATTTTTATCTGGTTGCTTTGCTGTTTTTAGGGAGAGCACATAAGGGAACTGGGAAATTCATTATGTGATAATAAATGTCTCAAAATATCTGTTCCTATATTTTAGATGTAAACGTCTGTAAATTTCAATGTGAGAAATTACACAGCAAATATGCTTTACTTACACAACTACAGTAAATATTCACTCACAACTAATTTATTATATGTTTGTAATGAATTAATCATGAAAGCACAGATATTTTGAAACATATCTATTCTCATACTGTACAGATTTGTTATATGCTTCTTGTTCTTATTTCTTTTTGATTGTAACAGATAAAATGTTTTTGTGTCTCTTTGTGAAAACAGATCATTTGTTCATATTTGATCAAAAAGCAACGGGATTCAAATTCTCTAACCCCTGGTATTTATAAAATTCTTGTCTTTTAGATACTGGAGGTACAATGAAGAAATGAGGACAATGGATCCAGGATACCCCAAACCTATCACCATCTGGAAGGGCATCCCTGACTCTCCACAGGGTGCTTTTGTTGATAAAGCAAATGGTATGTACTGTAGATTGCAATAAATATTATAATCTCTCAAATCTACATTTAATAAGTCTTAGACTTTATCTATTTCTAAGGCCAGAGCACACCGAATCCAATTTTGCATCTCATCCGACAGAAAATTGTGTCAGACAAGGTCATGGTGTTTTTTTAGAGGTCAATAAAAGTCAATGGGATGATAACACCCGACACCATTTTACACAAGGGGGCTGCATAGGTCCAACTAAGATAGACCCCAGGAGCACTTTAGTCAGATGACACAGTAATTCAGCTAAAATTTCATGGGTCTGACAGGAAGAGAGATGTGGTTACAAATTAAAACACATATGCTTTGGGGGAAAATACAAAATAAAATCTGTTAATCTCAAGGCGAAATAGTCCGTTTTGCAGTCGCGGATCGCGTATGTAGCAAGCAGGATGGACTCACACAAAAACATCAATCAATGAAACATTAGAAAACAATACTTTAAACATTATAGGAGGACAGAAAACAGATAAAAAGGGATCCTCTATTTACAAAACAAAAGTAGCGATCCATAAAAAAAAATGAGAGGCAGGCAGAGCAGGTATATAGCAGCATATCTCTCTCACCTCTTTATGAAAAAAAACAAAGAAAAACTTCAACAATCTTCACAGATCTATCTCTGAGAATCACCTCTCTCTGCCTCAGTCAGCATAGAAACCGCCACACTGCATTTCTTGCTACGTTTTTCTTTTCCTCTGATGTAGATCTCATTAAGTTTTTAATATAGGCATATGAACATCTGTTCTGGTTTGAGATGCTGCGCAGACTCAGTGGGGTTTGCTTTATAGAATATGCCACTGATTTTAAAAAATGTTTAAATAACTTTTCATAAACTTTCCAAGTCAAAAAAAAATCTGTGCAGATCTGCCCACCCTGCTTTGTCAGAGCCTCTCTACGCAGTCTGTGTGACAGGGAAAAAAAAAAATCGGATCGGAGATTAAAAAGTCGTAACCAACTGGTTTGTGTGTTCAGGCCTTGATAGTTGATATTGGATTATCAGGCTTTTTGAGAACTGAGACCCCATATTGGGTTTCATGGACAACAAAGGAAACTTAGAGGAGCACTCAATGCCCAATGTTAATTAGAGTAGAAGAACTGTGATGCAGATTTTTCCTAATCTCTCTATAGATACATAGATTATCCTGGATCTGTAATAAAGTGAGTACAGCATAAAGCCAAATTTCTTTCCCATATTGAATAAGTCATTTATTTATACCTATAATTTACATACATATTTTAAATGTGATGTGGACATGGAGGGCTTGTTATCTAGATGAGAGAACTGTGATGGTTAGGAAATATAAAATATTATGTTATATGTGTGAACTATGATTGGAACCCACAGTGAACAAGCACACTGTGGGTTCCAATGCTTTTGATGTCGT